AATTATATCCGTGATTTTTACCGATATGCGATAACGGTGATATTTAATGACGGGGTATATAATCGAAATTATACTTATTGACATGTGACGATAATATTTAATAAAGTGATTTATTCTAACAACGATAATAACAATTGTAACACTTTGTAGTGAATAATAATATTTTGTGATAATGTTCTTTGATGAAAAAACAACTTTATTTTGGTCATTTTGTCCAAAACAGTGATATTTTAATGAAACATGACAGTAACGCCTGTATTTCATTATAAAATACAGATTATACAGATGTTTGATGATTTATTGATGAATTATTTGATTTTTTTTTCCCAATATTTACCTCAGCTCCAGGTTTCGGACAAATTCCTCCACAACCGCCGCCGTCACTGCCGCCATTTTGCCGCCTTCAGCCCTCCGCCAATCAGAGTCCACCACCCTCCGCCCCCTCCGCCAATCGGTGAACGCCCACCTTCAGCCCTCCGCCAATCAGACGCTAACGCCCTCCGCGAATCGGAGACCTCCCACCGCCGCACCGTCCGCCAATCGGAAATCACCGCCCTTCGCAGCTCCCGCCATTCGGACGCCGTTCGCCGCCACCCCGCCCAACGCCTGGAGCCAATCAGGACGTTTCGTCACGTTTCCACCAATTGGAGAGCCGTTCCCGATTTCGTTCCTGTGTTTACACCACGCGGCCCCTTCTGGCGGCCATGTTTAAGAGGGGCATCCAACCCGTTTGTTTAGCACGGCTCAGGTCAGACATGCTTATGCGGGGCACCATTTCTCACCCAGGAAAATGGAGTTTGCCGGCCATGTTTATGCGGGGCACAGTCCCCTTTGGTTAGAATGAGGCGGGACTGACATGGCTAAGCGGGTAAGCCTTCCCGATGTTTAGGATGCAGTTGGCCGGCCCATGTTTAACCGCGACGCCGTCCTCTTTGGTTAGAGCGTTGTTTTCTGCCATGTTTATGCGGGGCACCGTCCCCGCATCGGGTGTATGCGGCCATGTTTATGCGGGGCACAGTCCCCGTTATTTTGAACGTATTTGGTGTCGGCCATGTTTACGAGGCGCCCGTTGTTGAGAATGCAGCTGTTCGGCCATGTTTAAGCGGGTCAATGTCTCCCGTTATTTGATTGGTAGTTTGTTGTTGTGGGTGGGGTTCAGCCATGTTTAAGCGGGGAACCGTCCCCGTTGTTTGGAACGTGCGACAGCCGCCATGTTTAAGCGGGGCATCTTCCGTGTTGGATTAGAACGGAGCTGGTCGGTGTCGCAGTTGGCCGGTCATGTTTATGCGGGGCATCTGCCCCGTACGCCCAAGTTTAAGCCCCACACCGCCCCCGTATAATGTAAACGTGCGCATGGGGTCGGCCATGTTGTTGCGGGGCACCGCCCCCGTTGTCGAGCATGGTGTTGGTCGGTCATGTTTATGCGGGGCATCTGCAATGCTTAGCCTAAAGGCTGGAGAGGAGTGGCCTGCTCCTGGTCTGAGTAGCTGAGGCCTTTTCCTGGTGGGAGAGGCCTGGTCTGGGTGGCTGAGGCCTGGCCCGGATGGCTGAGGCCTGTTCCTGGTGGGGGAGGCCTGGTCTGCGTGGCTGAGGCCTGGCCCGGATGGCTGAGGCCTGTTCCTGGTGGGGGAGGCCTGGTCTGCGTGGCTGAGGCCTGGCCCGGATGGCTGAGGCCTGTTCCTGGTGGGGGAGGCCTGGTCTGGGTGGCTGAGGCCTGGTCCTGGTGGGAGAGGCCTGGTCTGGGTGGCTGAGGCCTGTTCCTGGGTGGGGAGGCCTGGTCCAGATGGCTGAGGCCTGGTCCTGGTGAGAGAGGCCTGGTCCTGGTGGGAGAAGCCTGGTCTGGTTGTTCCTGGGTGGGGAGGCCTGGTCTGGATGGCTGAGGCCTGGTCCAGATGGCTGAGGCCTGGTCCTGGTGGGAGAAGCCTGGTCTGGGTGGCTGAGGCCTGCTCCTGGTGGGGGAGGCCTGTTCCTGGGTGGCTGAGGCCTGTTCCTGGGTGGGGAGGCCTGGTCTGGGTGGCTGAGGCTTGTTCCTGGGTGGGGAGGCCTGGTCTGGGTGGCTGAGGCCTGTTCCT